GTGTTTTGGGTCATTGTCATGCTGGAATACCCATCCACGACCCATTTTCAATGCCATGGCTGAGGGAAGGAGGTTCTCACCCAAGATTTGACGGTACATGGCTCCGTCCATCGTCCCTTTGATGTGGTGAAGTTGTCCTGTCCCCTTAGCAGAAAAACACCCCCAAAGCATAATGTTTCCACCTCCATGTTTGACGGTGGGGATGGTGGTTTTGGGGTCATAGGCAGCATTCCTCTTCCTTTTCCAAACACGGCGAGTTGAGTTGATGCCAAAGAGCTCAATTTTGGTCTCATCTGACCACAACACTTTCACCCAGTTGTCCTCTGAATCATTCAGATGTTCATTGGCAAATTTCAGACCGGCATGTTTATGTGCTTTCTTGAGCAGGGGGACCTTGCGGGTGCTGCAGGATTTCAGTCCTTCACGGCGTAGTGTTTTACCAACTGTTTTCTTGGTGACTATGGTCCCAGCTGCCTTGAGATCATTGACAAGATCATCCCGTGTAGTTCTGGGCTGATTCCTCACCGTTCTCATGATCATTGCAACTCCACGAGGTGAGATCTTGCATGGAGCCCCAGGCCGAGGGATATTGACAGTTCTTTTGTGTTTCTTCCATTTGCGAATAATCACACCAACTCTTGTCACCTTCTCACCAAGCTGCTTGGTGATGGTCTTGTAGCCCATTCCAGCCTTGTGTAGGTCTACAATCTTGTCCCTGCCATCCTTGGAGAGCTCTTTGGTCTTGGCCATGATGGAGAGTTTGGAATCTGATTGATTGCTTCTGTGAAAAGGTGTCTTTTATACAGGTGTAGGACTCGTACTCTCATTGTCTTTCTCATCTCGTTTATTCACGCATAGAGTTCACACCTCCTCCTCCTCATCATCGCTCCGTGTCTCTCCGTTCACTCCGATGCACAACCCGCCATCAACAACACTCCATGTCTCCCCGTTCGCTCACTCTGCTCCGCGACTTCGCTCGCTCTCTCTCCCTCTCTCCCAAGGTTCGTTACTCCGCTGCTACCCTACTCTGTACTCACTCCGTCCACTGCTACCGTACACTGTGTTCTCTCGGTCGCTACCATACACTGTTCTCTCTGTCTACCCTTATCGTATCTATTCCTGCTCCCTGCTTCTCCGTCTCTGTCCCGGGCACAAACCACTCCAACTCCGACTCCAACCCCAACCAAGACTCCAAGACTCCCGTCTCTCCGTTACGCTGTGCCTTAATACCCGAACCAATCAATCACAATTAATTATCTCATCCCCCGCTTCGTTACTCGCCCCCAGGCCCCCAGCCTCACGTGACCATGTTATTGCCGCCAGCTCGGCGCCATCCATCAGCCACTCACCCTCCTGACCAATCACCGGGCTGCGTCCTCAGTTACCCCTAACACCTGTGGCGTCTCTTAACGACCTCCCCCTTAATGACACGACAACAACAACCGTATCCTCAGTTGCCCCCACTGTACGCTGCTCGCTTGCCTAGCAACAGAACGCGTGGCGCGTGATATTTCAAGTCCTACACAGGTTCTAGATTTGAAGCTTTCGTGACTGCAATGATTAATATTCTTAGGTTTTTTCGGTAAAGTCACGTAGGTAAAAACATTAAAAAGTAAAATAAAATAAAAATCACGACGTTTCGGAGGCAACACAAGCTTCCGTCTTCAGGTGGTACCGTCACAGCCACGACAGCTGTATCAAGTAAATGAGAGATTGCAGGAGCTACCACTCCGTTTATATAATGGTTGGAGAAGGTGGTGGGGCAAGGGCCGCATACTTATTATTAATATGGTAAGGTGAGGCTTGAGACTAAGAATAGACTGCATAACAAAGGCTGAGCCTTTGTTATGAGCCTTTGTTATGGAGAGGTGTGGTTTGTGACTCAACCTGTGACAGGGAGACCACCACTAAACATGGTAAAACAGGTAACAAGCTGAGATTAGGAGCACTCCCTTTAAGAGTGTGCTCCTAATCTCAGCTCGTTACCTGTATAAAAGACACCTGGGGGCCAGAAATCTTTCTGATTAAGAGGGGGTCAAATACTTATTTCCCTCATTAGAATACAAATCAAGTTATAACATTTTTGACATGCGTTTTTCTGGATTTTGTTGTTGTTATTCTGTCTCTCACTGTTCAAATAAACCTACCATTAAAATTATAGACTGATAATTTCTTTGTCAGTGGGCAAACGTACAAAATCAGCAGGGGATAAAATGTGTTTTTTCCCTCACTGTAAGTGTTATTTCATACTTGCTTTTGCCTGAAAAGTATAGAAATGGCTATTATTCCCCACAAACTTTGCTTTTGTGACCAGGATTGTGATATTTTGAAATATACCTATTTTGAATGAGAAAACGGGCGAATTTGTGTCTTTTCGTTGACATGAAGTCAGAAAAAAACATATGAATCAAAAATAACATGTATTTATACTAAAGTAATGCAAACATGACTATAGTTTTTCGAGATTGACAATTATACTGTAAATCACTTTCGCGAACCAGCCCCCAAATGTAGTCTCCCATCATGTTCTCGTTATATTGTCCTTGGTAGCGTTCACAGTCCAGTATATCATGGTGGAAGCGCTCGCCTTGCTCCTCCGAGTACGTTCCCATGTTCTCCTTGAATTTATTAAGATGAGCATCAAGCATATGGACTTTGATGGACATCCGACAGCCCATTGTGCTGTCGTTCTTCACCAGATTCTCAACCAGCTCCACATAGTTTTCGACCTCGTGATTGCCCAGGAAGCCACGAACCACTGCGACAAAGCTGTTCCAAGCCGCTTTCTCCTTACTAGTGAGCTCCCAGCCATACTCATCATACTTCAAGGCATCCAGAAAGGTCTTGATGCTGTTGTAATCCTCTTTGAGGTTGACTAAGTGAGCCAGGGGAAGAGACGGGTACTTGTTATCATTATGGAGCAGCACGGCTTTGAGTCTCCTGGATGAGCTGTCAATGAAGAGGCGCCACTCATTCTGGTTACAGGAGATTCGGATTGCCTCGAACAAACTGGTCACAATATGGCAGAAGCAGAGCCCATCTTGACGGGTGAAGAAGCTGCAAAAAGGTTGGTGACATTTCCTCTGATCTGCGACTTGCACACTTTCATCCAACAAGTTCCACTGCTGAAGCCTAGATGTCAAAAGCTCGGCATTGGACTTGGTGAGACCAAGATCTCTGATCAAGTCGTTGAGGTCTTTTTGGTTGGGGTAGTATGGGTTTCTCTCTTCAGCTCCACCTCTGAAATTGTCATCTGGATCTACAACGTTTTCCTCGCTCTCTGACTTGCTACTCTCTTCTAAAGACGGCTGCTCTCTCACCAGAGGAGTGGGTACGGGGAGCTCATGGCACTGTGGCACCGGGGCGATGGATGAAGGAAGGTCCGGATACGTCATAGCAGGTGTATTCTTGCCAGCTCGACGTTTGGAAGGGTCCACCATGCAGAAGTAGCAGTTGCTTGAGTGGTCAGTGGGTTCCCACCGAATTATTTGGATAGCGAACTTCATGGCTCTTTTCCCATCTGTACCATCTTACAATAATACATTTATTTCATCCATGACTAATGTGTAAGAGATTCTCGCAACATTTTTTCATATATGATATACATTGAAAATTGTAAAACATTTAGAAATTAAATTCTTTTACAAATTAAAAAATTGTAACAAATTTTATAACATAAAATTCCGAGCAATAATTGTCCATCTTACCTTCCAGAGTTTTTGCATTGCTCGCACGTGAAATGAGGTGCCCAGGGTTTGTCTTGATCCCCGGCAGGCATGCCGACATATGCCTTGTAGGCCTTGCACACCTCAGCAGATGCTTCCACAGAGTACTTTTTCGCTGTTGTCTTGATAAATTGGCCGCAGACATAGCAAAATGCGTCTGCCGGATACTTGCAGCCTCTTGATGCCATCTCAGAAAAATGCAGATATGTATCCACTTAGGCAGCTGGAACTAAACTGAACTGGTGGGCTGAAGGCCCCTATATTTTACTACTATTTGTATTACTGGAAAGTTCTAGAATGTTCTAAAGTTTCACCATGTTTACTGAGCACTGGATCTATCTGGAATGTTCTGGAAAATAGATGCATTTCAAAATATCAATGTCCTGGTCACAAAAGCAAAGTTTGTGGGGAATAATAGCTATTTTCTGTACTTTTGAGGCATAAGGATTTAGGAAATAGCACTTACAAACCAGGAACAAAAAAATATTGTTACACAGTAATAATACGGAGCTGAGGGACGATTAATCGATTCTTAAATTTTAAGATGATTCTTACTTTCACGGTACATGGAATCGAACCACGGGCGAAATAATAATGCATTTCCATACGTACAGCTTAAATGCTTATAGTTTTAGACCACTACAGTATATATTCTTGCCACTATATATTCAAGAGAATCGATTAACTTAACCCATGACTAGATCGTGAGCATTCAAAAAAAAGTTGGTGAATTGTGCCTGTCCCGTTACGTAGTGACCCACGGAGAGGCCGGTGGCGAGTACACTGTCACAAGGGCTTTATTTAAACAAGGAGCGTGTTATACACACCAAAAATCCTAACAAACCAAGCATGTGGGGAACGTGTCTGTGCACTCGAGAGTATTGAACAATCTCTGCGTGTGTACTTCCCGCAAATGATTCGCATTTTACGTCTCGGCGTTTTCACCTCATTTTGTTCCGGCTCGTCCGCGTCATTAGCACGGTTGGAAGAGCATAGGAATGTGGTTCACTCGATGAAGTAATACTTGCCCAGTAATCGCGTTGGATTAGCTGTGCACGACAGAGCTACATACCATTACACCACACGGTCCCTCCCATGCCCCTCGGCCAATACATAACTTGACAATTGCCAGTTTACAAATTTTACAAATACTCACGGCCTATAATTTGCATACAAGCGATCCTGACGCGTGTTTATTTGGAGTTTGCATGTTCTTCCCGTGGTCGTGTGGATTTTTTCTCCGGGTCCTCCGGTTTCCCCCCCCCCCCCCCCCCCCCACATTTAGAAACATGCGTTTAAGAGTATTTGGCTGCTACAAAGGTCCACGTGATGATGAGCCACTTCCTTGAGCTATCATTTGTGATAGCCAGGTCGCTTCTGAAAAAGATCGATGACATACATCTAAATAGATAAATGTCCTGGAGTATTTTCTCTGTGGTGAGGTGACAGCCCATATTGCCTCATGCATCTATGGTAAAACATTGTTTTTATTATCATTACACGCTTTTATTTAACTCACTCCGTCTGTTGTATCCTCAAAAAATAAATATTGTAACTCAATTTTTACCCACTTTCCAATGTGCTATTCGACTGCAAACTTGAAATACCTGTCATACTGATGACAATACCATATTCTATCATAAAAAAATCCAAAACATATTTTTTAACATGTTACACGGTTGTATTTAACTTACTCTGTGTGTTGTCGTATCCTAAAATCTTGTAACTCAATTTCAACCGTATTCCCAATGTCGTATCGACTGCAATGGATGTGGAAGGAGGGGAGGGGCGATGGGGGAAGGGGGCAGCGGGAGGGGCAGCTCGGACAGTACATTTCATTAAAGCGTGTTTTTTTAAATAATATTTTTAAATATTTTATTTTTTTAACGCAGTTGCTGAGTACAGGCCCAAATTCCTTAAAACACCAAGCGGCTAGAAACAAACAGCACTATCAAAGTTGTAATAGGTACGAGTGTAACACGCTTCTTTAATTGAGCCAGGTCATCATTATTATTATTGGAGGTTGTGGGAAGAGACGACGGGAGGCAATTCCATAGTAGTGCCGTGGAAGGGAAGAAGCAGGGGGCAGTGCCATGAGCTGTGACTGTGGTACGTCCGTACGTTGAACTTCTTTCGCACAGTGTACGAAGCCGCCCACGCGAGTTGGTTGGCGGTTGAACTCGGTTTGGGGAGACGAGGCGGGTCGATCCCAGTGCGTGGCCGTCACACACCGGTGCGTCGCGGCAAAGTCCCAGGCGCGCCGCGGAAATTTTCAAATCAATGAGGCACACGCACAACACACGGTTGAGAGTAAGTCAATTTTATATAGCGCCATTCACACAAGGCATTGGCAGCGCTTTACAATACAATCCCAGTAAAAAAGCCCTTAACATTAAAATGGAGACGGATATGCAAGAGAAAATAAATGGGTTTTCAGACGAGCCTTAAAAACCTCGACTGATGGAGCATCCCTAACAGACTGGGGCAAGAAGTTCAACAGACGAGGCGCCTGACGACTGAAATAACAAATACACAAAGACAAATATCCCCCGTTTAGCCTGAACAGACTGTTAGGGCAATTGCTGTTAGCGAGCACATATGCAGGCCGGCATGGCACCACGCCCGGCCACCTTGTCTCCTGAGTGACAATGTTTACACATCGCACCAGGAACTAATTTGAGGCTGAGTCGACCTAGGGAAGGTGAATGACCAGTTCAGATAGTCGTCACTGGTGTTGGCCGTGAGCGGGAATCAAACTCGGGTAACTGGGTTTGTAGCGCAGCGCGCTAACCGCTAAACTACCACTCCCCAAAAAATTTACCAACATAGACACACAGACATCAATAAAACAATTAAACAGATATGCATTGAAATGAACGCAGCAGACAGAAATTCAAATGAAGCCATGAAATGAGTGAATAGATGGCCATCCTCACAGTTGCCAAATAAAACACACAGAGAAACACACGGACACTGGCTCACCCGGACGTCCCGGGTGAGTAACTAAAACTCGAGCCTCACGTGTTTGCGGTTCGAATTGAGTTTCGACGAGTCCTCGGGAACAGGTGGTGATCGAGGGAAGAGTGACAGACGCGATAGTGGAAAAATACTACTACATTTGCATAACAACCAAAAAAAATAAACAATTCTTATTTTACCAGGTAAGACCCACTGAGCAATATAGATCGTTTTAAAAAGCGACCTGGCCACTTGATAGTTCAACGAAGTGGCTTATCATCACATAGACATTTCTAGCAGCCAAATACTCTAAGCACGTGTTGATTCTGAATGTGGATTGAAACACCGGAGGACCACATGATAAGCCACCACTTCGTTGAGCTATCATTTATGATAGCCAAGTCGCTTCTGAAAAAGAGCTACATAGCTTGGTGGGCCTTAGCTGGTAAAATAAAATCTAAAAAAGTTTAGTCTTACTTCATGGCTCATTGAGTAGGTAACCTGGTTTAGTCTCCCAAGATGATTGCTGACCTTTCTGTGAAAAGTGTGTATGTGTTACTCCCAACGGTAGTGCGCTCTGTAGTATTTACCTTCTGCGATTTGTGCACAGAAAATACGTATTTATTTGTATTTTCATTTTGGATGTAGAACCATACAATTTTCATCTGACATTTCGCACTTGCAAATACATAATCGCGTGTAAGTACAAAACAATGTGTTGGCTCTTGTCCCAAAGGACCAATAATCTAAATAAAAATAAAACACTAAAACAACAAACTTTGTTTGCACTGCAGGCATTTCAATACGTTGTGAAATAAATTACATCACAGCCAGCATTCCTGTGACGCCAATATCTTGTTTATTGTTTTTATTGCATCATTCAACACCGTTGGCCAATACATTCCAGTCGCTATGTTTCTGTCTCTGTGTGTCTCCACGTCTCTGAGTCTCTTTATCTCAGAAGCAGAAGATCGGTGCTGGATACAGCAGTCACATTTGCCAATGCGATTATTTACTTTGATGATTACCCGTGTAGTATCAATAGTGCAATGCTAACGTGCCATTTTATTGAGGACTACTACTGTGTGTTGTTATTATGGTGTGGTCTGGTACTGCTTGCTGTTTTTGCAGCTTTGACCAATCTTGATAAATCAGACATCATTTAATATTTATTTATATTCGGTGGCTTTCTTACCATTTTTCTATTTTGCACTCCCAGCTTTATTTTTTGTATTTGCTGTTGTAACTCGCTGACCCGCCAATACTGAACATCTGTGAAAAAGAGCTTTATTGCTCACCGGATTCCTCCTCCAGCCAATATAAATTACTCTGATTCTGTCTCACCTTTGTCTGTGCAACTCTGTGTCCACGTAGGCTCCACGTGTCTCTGTCTCTCCTTGTCTTTCTCACGTATGCGGAAGGAAGAGACAGAGAGGGACAGAGACGCACAATTTACACACGCATTTTAAACACAATGCTGTGATCCACAGTCCTCAGCTGCACTCTCAGGACTTACACATCTGCGCATTTTTTCTGCGAATATGTGAAGCCTCCCCCCCCCCCCCCCCCAGTAAACTACAGTAAACTCTCGATTATCCGTTGTGCGGTTTATACGATTTTCGGATGAACCGCGCACCTGAGGTTTTTACATAAATTAACAACTCATAGATTTTCCCTTAAGCCCAAATGAATAATCTAAAAACAATTATACATTGTTATTATTGGAAATGTTTATTACAAGTCATATGCTTAAACCGAACAAATATGCTGCTCTGGTTCATCCGAAATCAATGTGATTGCCTCTACAGTACAGTAGTTGCATATCTTTACAACAGTGGGTGGAGTTTGATTTTGATTGGCGTGTCTGCTATCCACTTAGTGGGTGGACTCTCGGACTCTTTTGCATGGGAGCAGGAAAGTAGATATTCACGGAAATTTTTTTATTTTTTGGATTATCGGCGGTTTTTAATTATCCACAGCCGTCCTCCCCATCAATCGCGTGGATAATCGAGAGTCTACTGTGCTGACATTTACCCGTGGGTTGTCTGTGGGCATGGGCCAGCCCTTACCACTGCATTATAGCTCCAAATATTTTGAATTTTTGTGGATAAATGGAGTGACGTGACTAAATATTCCAATAATCCACAATTATTCAATATTTTTGCCATGGAAATGTTAAGTACATTTGCCATTTAAACCCACGGATGATAGGATCCGCAATGTTGGTCCACCACATCAAGATTTTACCTATGTTAAAAAATAATAAATACTTACGATTTAATTAAAGATAAGAAAAAAAATTGCCCACTTCAGCAATTGTTTTTCTTGCTGTGGTTGTCCCACCTGATGACGGACGCTTGTGTTGTGCCCGAAACGTCGTGATTTAATTTATTTTATTTTATACCTACGTGACTTTACCGAAAGATCCAAAGAGTATAGCAATATTTTCTTTTTTACCAGCGTAAGGAAATAATTCATGACAAATCAGACCAAAAACGTACATAAATATGGTGGAATTTACATTATATATATACGTTGTATATATAATATATAGGAGTAATATAGTTCTGACTTCACAAACGTCAACGTGGCATCCTGCACTGGTTTCCCTAGCACAGAGGACTTCATACGACCCTGGAATCTGGGCCCATCATTCAGGTCACGTAGTTCATCCTTAAAACCAGACGTCCGGACGTCTTCACCTTTCCCTGCGGCTGAGTGTCAAAATCAGATCCGAAGCAAAAAAACCTGAGCGAGCGAGCGACTGTGCGTGCGTCTGTTTGCCCGAGGGGGCACCCACGCCCGACCTGGCGCTCCTCACTGATCATTGCACACGATGGTGATGGTGCGGGGCCCTGCCTAGCCATTAGAAAAGGGCCCCATTCATGGCTTAAGCAACGACGACAACACCGCTGCAGCGAAAGCTCTGTTAGATTCGTGGGGAATCGAGGGGCCGGTTAGTCAACTATGCCCGTTATCTGGGAGTTATACTTACAGTTCAACGAATTTTCCAAGGACAGTACGTTAACATTTTCAAGAAAGAACCTATGCCAACGTTTTAACGATGATTTGAGAAATATGAAACTCTTTTACAGAGGCTACTCACCATTCAGTTGTAGAGCATTACAAGTTGATTGCAGAGAAGCAGTGGACATACCTGTCACTCCGTTATCAGTGCTCTCTACCTTATTACAGACCAACTCAGACCTTATTGGTCACCCCGTGCCCTTATAAATCTCAACAGTCATCCTACAAAGTCTCATCACAAGGGAGAAACACAAACAAATAGACATTGTTTTTTTGTTGCCCGTACTGAAACGGCTGTACGCCGTATGAACCTTTAAACTCAATTTTCCTATACACGAATCCAGTGTAACCCTTATGGGTTTACAGGTATAAATGGGGACCGTTTAGAGTTCAATATACAGTAGTATAGCACAGCATGTACAGTACCGACTGCCGCTAGCACCACTACTGTCCCGAAGCTCCCGTAAACAACGACGGATTTATAAGATCTATGAGAAGCGCACGCCAAGACGCCAGATAGCTGTCGCATTTTTACCAGATACATGAAAGAATATAATTATTGCTATCTATGATAGATACCGGTTAATAGAGCATTCCGGATTAAAAGTGCCGATAACAGAGGTTTTGCTGTTCTGTAATAATATCTATGCATACAATCGTGAGATGATATGCTATTCGAAACTGCAAGTGTAATCTGGATTAATAAATGTACAGATTATTTCAATGACAGCTTCATCTTTGGCACCCAGTAGTATTTCATATGTGAATGGTAATGATTATTTCATTTTGAATATCTGCCAAAGTAATTACTAGAATTGCTTTCACATACATTAAAATAGTCTTCCAATGCAATACAAACAACAGTGCGCCCACTGGCAATTGAGGTTTGGTTGAGGCAATCTCCATTATTCGGCTTGAGCCAGTGGTAGAAAATCCACATTTCTATGGTGAGGGCAGACGTACAACTTAACACACAGCATCAGCCGTTGACTTCCTTCCAAGTGGTGCAGCCTCATTGAGAGGTGCTCATTTTAAGGATACCTGCAGAGATGACGGGATGGTGATGATGATGGTGAGACTAAGTTGACTTGGAATAAGACGAGAACTTAACGACTCCACCAATGAATGAAAATTCTGGCCTAATTTTCCAAATAATACTTGTATAATTAAAATTTCTAAATTGCTACTTTAGTTATTCTAACAATACAAGCATCTATAAATGTTCGTTAATGTTCGAGTATGGTCGCACACAAGCTTGGCTCCCTTTATTTGCGTGTATTTTCATTTTCCAAACTTGCGTGTTATTCTTAGTTTCACCCTTGGGCCACAACGCAGGAATGTGGAATTTCTACAACTGGATCAGGCCAGCGATAGCAAAGGGCACCACCCAACACTCATTTGAGCAGTCAGACGCTTTGCCATCTTTTATGGCATTTGTAGCCTCCATCCATACACCGTAAAACTATCTTGCTGTTTCCCCAGGTTACTGGTAAAAGACTTGTCGTTGGTCTCTCCCCAGTAATACACGGACAGATGTATGTGTGTTGAACTTCTTTCTTCGCACCGTATGTGGCCAACCGTGCTAATTGAACGTGTGACAGATGCTGAGTAATACCTTGCACTGCTCTCTTTGTCCTCGGCTTTACTGGGCTTTGTCCGTGGATGGTTTTGCCATTATCCGCAGTGCCCATTTACTGGGCTGCTGCTGCAAAGGACTGTCGCTCACTGATGTTAGCTGGGGATGAAACAGAATACGCAGCTAAGCCAGGGGAATTAGCAGTGACAAAACAATTTTTGGGTCATCTCCCAGGTGTGGCCATGACATTAGTAAACTAAGAAAAAAACTATTGTTCATCTGAGCTATGTAGCTCTTTTCCAGATGTGACCCTGGCCGCATATGAGAGAGCTCATAGAAAGTGTGTTTTTTTAAATCACATGTTAGAATTTATAGTAGCTGTCAAATCATATAAAAAAAACTTTCTAAATGTGGAGAGGAGGCCAAAACCAGAGGATCCTGAAAAAAAATCCACGTGCATAACCACGGGAGGAGAACACGCGAACTCCAAAGGTACAGGCACCGTCGGAGTCAGGCTCGAACCCACGACCTCCTGCATGATTAACCAGGCGAGGGAGGGCAATAATATTTCGCCATTACCGACCTGCAGACATAAAACACGTTTGGGAGTCACCCTACAACTAGAGGTTCGTTGGTGTTGTTTTAGATTGACTGTCTGCATTCTGGGGGTTTCCCCATTTGGAGGCACTTACTCCCTTCCTAAAAGCCACCGTAAATGCAACCGACAGACAAAGGGTGGTTTATAAACAATAATAGACAAGGATTCCCATGCTCATGTAAGAATTTTGAGGTGCGCATCTCTAACTATCTGAATTCAGTGTAACTTTGACACTGAAGAAGTTATGTTTCTCCATGGGATCACTTCATCAATATTCTCCACACGTGGGAACAAGCATCCCTGAATATGCGCGACAGATATGTTCCTGAAAAAATATCCAGAAAGTTAAATTCTGTATATCTAACCGTTTTTTTCCCATTAGCTTCCCTTATATTAACAGAGATGCATTCCTACGGAAGATTTTTCAGCCCCAAGACATGATAAAATCTAACTTAATAATGCAGCAAAACCTTTTTCAAGCACATATTAATGTAAAAACCATAATATTCTGATAAAATATGAATACACTGAAGAATCAGTCACTAAATAAAAAAAATACATACGGTACTTACCAGACGCTGTGGAGATCACCGCGTGAGGTGCTGGAGTGCCAAAATGCGGTGGAAACCAGCACAGTATAAAATACGCCATGGTAGCGAGATGTTAACTACCTCGCCTGGTATACAGGAGTTTGTGGGTTCGATCCTGAACCTGACACCTGCTGTATATTTGAAGTTTGTATGTTCTCCCCGTGGTTGCGTAACATTTTCCTCAGCTCCTCCGGTTTTATCCTCCACATTTAGAATCAACAGGCGTTTAGAGTATTTGGTTGCGATACATTTCCACGTTATAAGCCACTTCATTCAATCGTAGCCAGGTCGTGTTCTAAAAATAGCTATATAGCTCAGAGGGCCTAACATGGTAACAAAAATGGAGTGGAAGGTGGCAGCCTTCACGTGGCCCACTTCTGGCGAGTGAGAAATCACGACCGATGCGGCGACCCAACATCGATCGTCGTCGATCTCCAGAGCAACAACAAAGATATGAGCCATGCCACCAACAACACAGGCCACGCCACCTGAATGCTTTGCATCTACATCATCCATACACAAAGACAGAAAGACCTGGTCGGATAAAAAAAAGTGTTTATTTTAAAAGCGCGCCGTGCCAACCACCAGGAGCAGAATGATAATGCACGCTGGACAAACGACAGGCCATGCATAGTTGCTTTTTTCCCCCCAATTTTGTTTCCGCAATTAGAGATTTAAAATTCAACGCATGCAAATTTAAGTAGCCTGCATTCAATTTGTTCCCTAATGTATACGCTATATTACAGCGCAATTCCCTACATCGAGTTGTCGTAATGACTGCATCTTTATTTAGCCATGTGATGGACCATCGAGATAGTATCTCCGAGGGAAAAAGTAAAACGTTTGAAAATCAAACCAATTGATAACATACTTCGTTAGACAAAACTAAAAATATTTTGCACCAACGCACATAAATGGTAAAACAATAGCTTGCCCATTGATGTTTTAATCGAGATTGAAGTTTTATTCTGCACCGTGTTTTGTATGTATGTTGCACTTCTTTCGCACCGTACATAGCCAAACGTTCTCATCGGAGGTACGGGGGAAGGACAACCAAGCATAAAAAGCAGTTTCAAATGAATGAGTTTTTAATTTCGAGTAATTAGTTTTCAATCTAGTGTACAGCTCGTTGAGATTCATATTTAAAGGAATCGAGCAAGGTTATTGAAGAGCTCACCACCGAGCCAGTTTGCGCGAAGTCAATTTTTACATTTCCACAGTGGGTCTCAAACGTGGAGTTGAACAGGGGCAGGATGTCGGCTGTGCAAATGGGTGGGAAAGGGATTTCAATACCATGGTTGCAGCAGCAGAGAAGTAGTAACCCTGCCCATTCAGAGGAGGCCGACTCCTTAAATCCTGGAGCAGATAGCATGTAGAAAGGGAATAGGAGTGAGAAGAGAGGTGATGAGAGGACATGCAATTTAATCGGAGCAAAATTGAGATTTCATGCAGCATTGTTTTAAGTGCTCTGTATAAGTTGGCCAGGTGGCAGAGAGGTTCGCTCAGGTTACCAAGAATGTGTGAGTCAGAAATTATGAATGGAGCTCGTCCAGGGCTCCAGGTATTTTGGGGAAGCAAGGAAATGGATCTCCCTCAGAGGAAAGATGCAACCAAAAACATAAATGCGTGCTTGGTTGGTCACCAACATAATTTCAAGCCATGGCAATGCAGCAGTATCTATCTCCTCCTACAAATATGAAAAATACTGTCAAATCTATGAACGAAACTACTATTATTGTTTTATCAGGTAAATGTGGAGGGAAAAACCGGAGGGCCCGAAGAAAAATCCACACGATCACGGGTAGAGAAACATGTAAACTACAAATATACAGGCGTCATGGTCGGGATCGAACCCACAGCCTCCTGTGTACCAGGCGAGGTAGATACAATCTCGCCACCGCGGCATGCTTTTTGACCAAATGCCATGATTGTGAGTTTCTCTCGGTGTGCGCCGACCTCTGTTGGCTCGGTACAGACGGCTCCTATCACGAGTGGTGTGACACAGAGAGCGGTGTCACAAGCCCTGCCAAGTCATGTTGCAGTGACGCCACAGGGGTGTGTTACCACTGTGGCAGTTCAGCTAAACGTAACATATCTGGGGTTTTTATGGGGGGTTTTTTCCACAAATACATTTCCAAAATTATATGAGACGGCCTAGAACTTACTACCTGGATATGCATCTACAAAAAACTGTGTTACTTTCATCAAAATATGGGCAGTTTGTTTGTTTTATTGAACTGCCTTGTTGAAGTAAAATACTACTTGAAAACACTGATATCGTTTAATAATTGTATTTATTATAATCAATAATGTAGTAAATTTGGTATGTTTCACCATTGTATGGTTCAGGGTTATCGTGTAGGCGCTTAAGTTTAACGCGAAGTAGTAGGCATTCGCGAACAATATTATCCATAAGAGGGTTTTTTTGGGTTAGGTCGCTTAAAATATAAATGTGTCGTTAAACCCGCCACCAACCCGACACAGCTAATTCGTAAGATTTGAATTGTAAGGTTGGTTGTAATTACTGGCGCAACATCGTACTCGAATTGTAAATGTTGTGGGTTTACTCTCCAACACACTTTTGTGTTGTACTAGTAATGCAATGGCATGTTTTGTTGACGTGACAAACCTTACTAACTGGTTGTGTCGGGTGGTGGCGGGTTTAACGACACATTTACGGGAAAAAACCTTTGTTATGGAGTCTTGACCTGGCAATCTCTAATTTTTGGATGTAATTCATGTCAACAAAACAATTTTACGGATAATGTGAAAATGGGGGGCTTGCCTGTTGAAAACTTTTGAAAAAAACTACGTACTTAAAACCATCCCTTCGCACGCTTTCGCCGAGTGTGCCTTAGGCAAATGTTCCAGTGTCGGCTGTACTTGAATGCAAGCTGGGAATCAGGGTTTGAGGGGGAGAAGACAACCATAGCCACCCACAGCCTATGGCAGTCCGTGATACATGGCAAAAGTACACAACTCACCGAGCGTTAACAATACACGACACAAAGCCTTATTTACCCGCCCCACCCCATACACAAACAGATGCAGTATTGTTCGCGAGAAGCTGTTAACAGCGAAGCTAAATAGAGACGTGTGGGAGTGAAACGCGTAGCTGCACCGGAAACACAACAGGAATGGAGGTGATTGTTAAGATCTGATACTTAGATATGTTAAGCAGTGGAACGGCGAGGAATTTGGACGTGCAATACAGAGGTGAGAGCATTTTTAATAATTACTGAATGCTTTTTGGTTAAACGCCAGTCATCTGTGACATACATGACGCACCCTGTATTTCAAAATACATTCTGTTCTCCATTCATCTGTAACGGCACACACGCAGCATTTGGCCAACCACGTAGCACCGTATTTGAATGCCATTGGGCGTACTGCCTATTTTTCAGCAATAATAATGATTCCATTAAGATAGCACTCCTCATCGAGGATCTCAGGCAACTTTTTCTACGGTGAGTGAAGGTATGGATGGGGGCTCTGGACGGGTGCGAGGGGCTGGTAACCCCTCCACCTTAAAATAATTGACCACTATACTAGGGAATAAAAACTAATTAAGCTTGTGCCGGAGGCCCCAGGGGGACAGGCGTTCATGACATCTCCTGGCCAAACCCCATTTGGCTGAGCCAGCAGATTTAATCCTTACGATCGGGGTTCCTCCAGAAACAGCAAAAAACCACTGCGGGTGGCCATGTGGAATGTTCGAATGCTCACTGTGGAGGAGGGGCTGCCACTCCTCTGTCGGGATCTGGACCAGTACCGCCTGGATCTCTGTGGTATCCAGGAGGTCTGGTGGACCGGCTCTGGCTCCTGCCACCATAAGGGGTGGACAGTGCTCTGCCCGGGGCAGGAGATTGCCAAACAACAGGGAGTGTCTCTTCTTCTGAACAAAAGAATGAAGGGGGCATAGGAGCGTGGCGGTGAGGTGTGGGAAGCTGTAAGTCCCAGGCTACTTTGGG